AGGATAGTATGGTTAACTGCTTGTTTGTGCAATAAACTGTTAATAGTTCTTCGTCGGAAATTAGACCATCAAGAAACCAGCACTTCTGTTTCTATTTTGTTCTGGAGTTAACCAGTAGAACTTCTGTAGCCATAGACATCTAATTTGCAGCCTGGTATTTTCCACTGGTATTTACAGCCATATAGTTCTCAGTCTGCTCCTTTTATGCTTATTATATGTCTTCTACTTCTTTAGACTTTAGTTCATAGTCAATTCCTTTTTGTATCGTAAAATGAACTTCTAACTTTAGCTTAACCTTGCAGTTGGTTGATTTTGAAAGTTGGAAAACTATTCAATCAAAAGTTAAGCAAGATTCAGGCTTGGTCATCAATGGGGGTTCCTTTCATGGAATTGTCGATTCTATAGAGAGACGTCATATGGATGTTCAAGGGAACATCTTCGCCTTTGGGATGCTCTTGCTGGAATTAATTAGTGGAAGATCTCCTTATTCAAAAGACAGAGGCAACTTGGTGGATTGGGTATGGCAACCTCTAACTGTCTAACATATGCCATTAAGAAATTGCAATTATGAACATATGCTTCATAATTTTCTTTAAACAGTAGTAAATAACCTTCTTTCTTTTCTGTCCTTTTTCATCTTTGGATAAAATGATTTGGCTTCGTCAAACCCCCTACATGGTTCCAATATGATCTTGGTTTACATCTTGTCCGGCCTAGCAGTGGCAGTAAAGGACATTGCTATGAAGTGAAAGGGAAAATTTTCACTTGATCTTCTTATCAAGCATCTGATAAGAGTTTGAGTGATCATAGTTATCTCTATATGATCTTTAATGAAAAAAATCCAAATAAGTGCAGTAATAATCAGTAAGATATTTTCTATTAAAAATTATAACCCAATTACGTCAAGACATCCTTGTGAAGATTAGTTGCTTTTTCTTCGTTTGGAAAGCAATTAAGAATGCAGCGAGTACGATATAGACTTGATGATGCGCCTGAACAAAAAATTGTTTGCCATTATGTTTGGATAATCAACATCTTTTCTTTTAAGGCGAAATTTCAAAAAAAAAACCCAAATACTTTGAGGCGTCAATCACAACCCATAACCCACACAACAACAACAACAACAACAACAACAACAACAACAACAAAACAAGTACTTTGCATGTCCCTTGGTAATTTGTTTATTGTTTCTGTATATGTTACCTTGTTTATGTGTATAGTGTACCTATAAAAGAACAAGTAATACAAAAGCTATAAACTATGTGAACTGCAACATCCTGAATAACATTAATTAACGTTTCTCATATACCCCACCTCTGTTTCAGGCAATGGAGAGGCTACACCATCCAGAGAAGATGAGCACATTAGTAGACCCAGAGCTAAAAAACGTCAAGGCCGAAGATCTCTCTGTAATATGCGATGTGGTGAGCTTGTGCATCGATCCAGAACCTTCTAAGAGACCGTCGATGCAAATAATATGTGCAATGTTGGAGGATGGAATCGATACCTCGATTACTGCTGTTTTGAACCACCAGTCTTCATTAGCTTGGGCAGAGTTGGCCTTGGCATCATAGCTTTATTTTTTCCCCCCTACTGTAAAAATCCAATTTATTACACACAGTAATACCTTGCTTCTTTCTTTCTTTTTTCCTCTTAGCACTTCCCCCACTGATAGAGAAAAGGCCAGAGAAATAATTATCCGATGGTCTTGAAGTTCCCTCGAGCATTTTTTGGGCGTCTTTTCCTCCCATTTGCTTCATTTCTTTGGCTGATGAGTTGTTACAGAGTTGAAACAAAGTACTTACAGCAGGTAGAAACAGGACTCTAAAATGACAAGAGTATGATATCCAAATGTTGTGATGCAGAAATATTTATATATATTTCATTATAAAAAAGATGTTAAATAGTCTATAAAGTATTATATTAGCAGAAAGAACTTCTGTGATCTTGTGGTGCTGTCGATTTCAAACTAGAAGTAGCGCAAACACCATGAGCATCTGATGAGATACAATTAACTTCTTTGCATATTAAACACTGCTTTATCCAAAAGATCGAGTTATGGTATTATGTGTTAATACACAAACGCATAATTCTTAAAATCTAACTACATATCTGGAAGATAGCTATTGTCAAGCCTCAGGAAACGGAGGATTCATCAATAAAACCCCATGAAATAGATTATAAATATAAATATACCATTCCATCCTAAAACATGGCAGATAACATTTTCACTCTGCTTCAATCCACAACACGTACCAAACTTATTTAAGATTCTGCATGATCCCATCGAGGCATGAGGGTATGCTTAGTCAATAGTACATTAAGTCAGCAAATGTATTTACAACACCATGCAGTTTCAATTACCCAAGAAATCCTCATTTGGCACGGGTATCGCCCGGATGGGATGAGCCAAAGCAAGAGTAACCCCAAGCTTGTCACTCAAGTCGACATTCTCAGCTCTCATTCCGTCAGCCAACTCCCACTTGAAATGGTACAGCAAAGAGGCCAGCATCAGGGGAACCATTCTAGACGCTAGCGGCAGCCCTGGGCAAATCCTCCGGCCTGCTCCAAACGGTATAAACTCAAAATATTGCCCTTTGTACTCTACATCCCTCTCCAAGAATCTCTCTGGCATGAACACATCCGGATCTTTCCACAGGCTCTCGTGTCTCCCTAGAGCCCAAGCGTTCACTAGTATCCAACTATGTTGCGGGATGCTGTATCCGCACAGTTCGGTGTCTGTCTCCGCCTTTCGTGGTAGCAGAAAGGGACCTGGAGAGTGAAGACGGAGGGATTCTTTTATGGTGGCCTGGAGATAGGGAAGCTTTAAGACTTCTGTTTCGTCGAGTTCTATTGTTTTGTCGAAGGATTCGAAAAGCTCGGCTTGTACCTTTCTCATTGTGTCGGGGTTGCGGAGGAGCTCCGCCATCACCCATTCTACTGTGTGTGAGATTGAGTCGGTACCACCGACGAACATGTCCTAAGATACACGTTGAGTGTGTCAGCAGTACAAGGGATGAAAAAAAAGAAAAAAAGAGAAAAAGAAAAAAAAAAGAAAAAGAAAATAGTCACGTAAAATATAGGGAGTTTAACTAGGAGGTTTGTCAATCAACGTGATTAATTACATCCTAGCTAGAAACCAGAGTAGGATTTCACTTTCTCATAATTCTAGTATTTTGTTGTTTCCATTTTCTTTTGGGATAGGTCTAAATAGATTTGGCGGCTAAAGATACTCTGACGCTAATGTTTTTACGAAAAATCTTAAAAAGGTCATCCAACTTGCTCAATAAAGGTAATGAACGATTTTCTCTAATATATGTTGTTTTTTAGTGGTTTCGTGCAAAATACTCAAAAGATAAGAGTTCTGTGAAATCTAAATTTATCTATAAATACTTTCAGGTTGAAAAGACTCCGTTCTTGAACCTGTGGATTAGGCACTGACAGGTTGTGGCATAAGAAAAGCTTAGAAAGTCCGTAAGTAGTGGTTTCTTCGATACTTTTTGGTAGCCGAGATGATCCAAATCCCTTAACAAATCGATGAATCAAAACAAGCCAAGGAGGGTCATGTGAACGCGGAAGTGGGTTTCCAGTGGGGGCCACACACCCACGTAAAGAGATCAAAGCCAAGATCTCGTGAACAGTAGACATACAAAAGCCCACCCGATTCAATTGTATAGCCCCCCTATAAATTCCCATGCTAGGGCTTCGTGAAACGTGAGCAAGTGTAAGGGGGAAAGAAAAAAATCGCAGGCGGCAGACTTTTTTCGGCTGCAGTGACTTCGTGCGAAGGAGGGTGTTTTTGCTGCAGTCGGTTTTTCTCTTTACTTTGGCGGCGTGCAGGTGTAGGCAGAGGGCTGGGTTTGTGAAATTTGCGGCTGATTCGTGCGCAGTACAGCAAAGGGAATTTTGCGGCTTGGCTTGGTGAAAAAGAACAGAGTTTCGGGCAGCGTGCAAAGAGTCCTTTTGTGCTTTTGAGAGAGATTTTGTGTGAGGGATTTGAGAGTTTGTGTGAGGGTTTAGATTCAGTGATTGTAAACCCTAGTTGTATTCTCTCCCTCTATTAGTAGATCTCCCCCTCCTTGCCACGTGGACGTAGGCGATTTGCCGAACCACGTAAAATTTATGTTCTTACCGTGATTTGTAATAACTTGTAGGATCCCTCAACAGGTCAGTCCTAGAACTGATGAGAGGAAGAACCGATATCTCACTTTGTTGAGATATCTGCTTCAAATTCTTGTTTCCTTGGTGAGACAAGATCTTAAATAACAACTTTTTGGGTTACAAAGATCCGGTCTTTTTATAAGATCCGGTTACAATGAAAATCAAAGAAAAATAAACAAAGATTACAACTTTCTCCTTTTGTGTCGAACAAATCGCGAGCTCCTGTTTTGCGGTCGCTCGCTTTGTGGGTTCTTTGCCTGCGCCGGGGTTTATCTGTGGACCACCACGAGATCTAGATCCGGTCGGATCTACGCAGTATGACGGATATTATTTCACCAAGGAAATAATAGTCGAGGGTACTATTTCGCCAAGGAAATAGTAGCCTTTAATTCTCGGGATCAAAGACCAAGCTTTGATCCGGAGTACGCCTGCGTAGATCTGAGATCCGGTCCTCTCGAACTCTTGCCTTATTTGGCGTTGACGATCGCCGAGCACCACATCTGGATGAACAAGTCCTCGAAGTCCCAAAGCTTGGATCTTTTTTTAGATCTGAGTCTTCAATCCAGCAGGGCTTCGCCTCCAAAAATTCTAACCTTTGAACAAATGAACCACCTCTCCTATTTATAGGCCATCTTCACTGTGCCCGCGCACAAGTGGCCGACACACCGAGCCACCTCAAGGTGGCTCGGTTTCGGCCGAGCCCTCCCTCTTGGTGTTGGGTTTCGTCGTTTTGTCGTTGTATCCGTTTTTCGGTTCCGCCGTGATTCGGTTCTGTGGTTGATTTAGACTCTGATTCGTTGACCTGATTTGGCAGTAAATCCGATTCCTGATTTGGCAGTAAATCCACTTCTGAGTTCGAGTCCGAAACTGATCTTGATTCGATCGTGATTCGTCCGAGTCCGCCCTTGGTTGGATGACTCGTTGACTCTTCAACCCGTTAGCTTGATTCCGCACGCGAGTGGATCTATTCCGTTGTTTGCGTCGTATACTTTTCGGAGTATTAAGAAGCAGTTTATACTCGTATACTTTTCGGAGTATTAAGAAGCAGTTTATACTCGTATACTTTTCGGAGTATTAAGAAGCAGTTTATACTCGTATACTTTTCGGAGTATTAAGAAGCAGTTTATACTCGTATACTTTTCGGAGTATTAAGAAGCAGTTTATACTCGTATACTTTTCGGAGTATTAAGAAGCAGTTTATACTCGTATACTTTTCGGAGTATTAAGAAGCAGTTTATACTCGTATACTTTTCGGAGTATTAAGAAGCAGTTTATACTCGTATACTTTTCGGAGTATTAAGAAGCAGTTTATACTCGTATACTTTTCGGAGTATTTAAGAAGCAGTTTATACTCGTATACTTTTCGGAGTATTAAGAAGCAGTTTATACTCGTATACTTTTCGGAGTATTAAGAAGCAGTTTATACTCGTATACTTTTCGGAGTATTTAAGAAGCAGTTTATACTCGTATACTTTTTGGAGTGTTTAAGAAGCAGTTTATACTCGTATACTTTTCGGAGTATTAAGAAGCAGTTTATACTCGTATACTTTTCGGAGTATTAAGAAGCAGTTTATACTCGTATACTTTTCGAAGTAATAATTCTTTCATTGCAACGCATTGATTGGCGTTGACATAGGGTTACGCGTTGACCGGCGTTGACCTTAGGGTTTTAAACGCCGTACGCTGACTTTTTGATCGCAACGCGTTGACTGGCGTTGACCGGCGTTGACCCTAGGGTTTTGAACGTCGTACGTTGACTTTTTGATCGCAACGCATTGACTTGAACGTCGTACGTTGCTCAAGTCACGAGACCAACTAATGAAGCTGATGCGTCAGTGACTCTCGTATTTATAGGATTTTTGGCAAATCCTCAGCCATCAACGGGTTTGATGCGCCTTTACCGACTACCGTTTGAGTCGGGCTAGCATGCGGATTGTTCAAGTCCGTTCCGCATGTGACGTTAAGCTAAAAGAGTTAACCCTTTTAGTGCTACGATATTGAATACGTAGACTTCGTCTTTCTCACGGGAATAGACTACCCGGCGACGCGTGTTAAGCGTTTACTTTAGGATTTTTTTGGCTAACCCCCAGCCTTCAACGGATTTGATTAGCCTTTACCGACTACCGTTTGAGTCGGGCTAGCATACGGATTATCTAAATCCGTTCCGTATGTGACGTTGTGCTAAGAGAGTTAACGCTCTTAGTGCTACGATATTGAATACGTAGATTTCGTCTTTCTCACGGGAATAGACTACCCGGCGACGCGTGTTAGGCGTTGACTTTAGGGTTTTTGGCTAACCCCCAGCCTTCAACGGATTTGACGTGCTCTTATTGACTACCGTTTGAGTCGGGTTTACATGCGGATTGTTTTAAGTCCGTTCCGCATGTGACGTTGTGCTAAAGGAATGAACTCCCTTAGACTTGATGCTACGACTTCGAATACGTAGACTTTTAGATGCTGACTTATCCCTACTTAGGCTTCGGGATAAAATTCCCCAGAATCGAACTCTGGTGTCTTTTTCTTCGGAGAAAGACTAAACCGGCGACGCGTGTTAGGCGTCGGCATATCCTTTCTTAGGATTCAGGATGAAATTCCCCATGCGTGTAAGACATGGATTTTGGTGTTATTAATAACAACCTGTCACAATGTTGAATATGTGAACGGGTGTTCTTTTTAACGGTTAAGAACTAACCGGCAGCACGGGTTAAGCGCAGACTTATCCTTGCTTAGGTTTCAGGATAGAATACCCCAGAATCAAACTCTGGTGTCTTTTTCTACGGAAAAAGACTAAACCGGCAGCGCGTGTTAGGCGCAGACTTATCCCTGCTTAGGATTCGGGATAAACTTCCTATTACCTGTGAGGCATGGATTTTGGGAGTTGAAAAAGGTGGTGTCTTCTCTTGGGGCAAAGACGAAAAAAGGTGGTGTCTTCTTTTGGGGCAAAGACGAACCCAAAATGGGAGAGGAAGAATTTTATATTCTATCTCCCGATACTGAAGAAGAAGAATTTTATATTCTATCTTCAGCTGGAAAAGAGACTCGAGGTGGGATCTCCACCCCCAGAATCCGGAAAGGTGAAACTAATGGACCTCTCGTTCATTGGGGGAATCGAGAGGGGGAGAGTGTTGAGTGCACAGACGCGGTGAGAATTTGAATGGGAGTTCTTATTCATTACATTGTTGTGGTTTTGGGAACTTCCCGTTACATAAATCGTCCACCCCCAGTTTCCTCTGCGGAACTGGTTCGGACATTATTATCAGTTAACTAACCGGGTTATCCTTAAGAATATTAGCTTAATATTCTCCAGGAAACTTCCCGTGGAAGAAAGGAAATAGTTTAGACTCATATACCTATTGGAGTAGGTAGGGAGCAGTTTAACCTCTTGCACCTGTTGGAGGATTGAGAAACAGTTTATACTCGTATACTCTTTGGAGTCTCGACTTAATTGAGCGATATAACACCGGTCTGAATGCTATTCTTGAGAGCAAAGCAATCCTTGGTGGGATGAACGACCCTCCTGTGGTATGCACAGTACTTTGGGTCCGTAGTGTTGTCAGCTTCCTCCTGATTTGTGATAGGTGGTAGCTTGATCTTGTTACTTTCAAGGAGGGATTCGAAGATGGCTGGAACGTCTTCGTCCTTGAAAGAGTACTCTTTTTAGAGTCTCGGACCTGAAGTCTTTTGCTGCCTTCGGGATTGCTGTTGTGACGCTTGATTAGCACCACCAGCAGCTGCAGGTGCTTTGCCCTTACCACGGGAAGCGAAGTTTGAGTCCAGCAGATTAACCGTCGGTTGGTTCCTTTCGGCCTTCTTCCTTTT